TTTTTTTTTTTTTTTTTTTTTTTTTTGCGCTGTACGCGGGCCTCTCACTGTTGTGGCCTCTACCGTTGTGGAGCACAGGCTCTGGATGCACAGGCTCAGCTGCCATGGCTCACGGGCCCAGCCACTCCGCGGCATGTGGGATCTTCCCAGACCGGGGCACGAACCCGCGTCCCCTGCATCGGCAGGCGGACTCTCAACCACTGCGCCACCAGGGAAGCCCTGTGTGTTGATTTTTGTGTAGATGTAAGTGTTCAACTCATTTGAGTGAATACCTAGGAGAGCAATTTCTATATTGTATGGTAAGCCTATGTGTGTGTAACTTTGGAAAAAACTGAAAGACTGTATTCCTGAGCGGCTGCACCATTTTGTAGAGTTCCTTTGCTCCACATCCTTGCCAACATTTGGTGGTGTTAGTGGTTTGTATTTCAGCTATTTTAGTAGCTATGTAGTGATATCATATATTTTTTATTCTTTTTTTTTTTTTTTTTTTTGTGGTACGCGGACCTCTCACCATTGTGGCCTCTCCCGTTGCAGAGCACAGGCTCCGGACGCACAGACTCAGCGTCCACGGCTCATGGGCCCAGCCGCTCCGCGGCATGTGGGATCTTCCCGGACCGGGGCACGAACACGTGTCCCCTGCATCGGCAGGTGGACTCTCAACCACTGCGCCACCAGAGAAGCCCGGAAAGTCAGTGATTTTGAATAAACACATCGGTATTCTTTGTTTCATTTTATACAGAGCACATATTATTGTAACTTTAAAATGTAAAATAAAAATTACTTATTGTTAAAAATGTTCATTCTCTTTTAATATATATAAACACAATATATTCATTTTAAACATAAATGGCATAATATTTTAACACTGTTTTCTCTCTTTTCATTTATGTGGTCATGCCTATACCTATATGTCTCTGTATGGTAAGTCATTCTCAGTTTTTCACTATTTGAATGATGATATAAGAAACATCTTTTCTTCTTTATTTGGTAAGGACTTCCTGCTCCAGACGTCCGATTCTTAGTCCCTCACGTCGGATTCTTAGTCCCTCTGTTGGCATAGGTCAGTCCTCTTCCAAGACTGAGCATTATTTCAAGTCTCTTGTATCTTTAATCTCTTCCTCTCTCTTTGAGCCTTCAGTCTGAAAACAAGCTCTGCTTCCCCCTTCAAATAAAGTCCCTCTCTTTCAAGCCACTGTCTTATGTGAATTTTAGGCTAGTCTACACCCTCTCCATTTCACCTTTCCCATTTACTCCATACTTGCCTGCCATCTGGATTTCACCTTAATCATTTTACCAAATCTACAAGATCCACGGGTCACATGAACCATAGTTACCAAACCAGTGGTCCTTGGACCCTGGCGTCATAGTTTTCTTACTTCTCCAGGGTGTTCCACTATGAAGTTCTATCAAGGACTTCCTGGCCAAGTCTTCCTGGTATCTTTCTCCTCCTCATCCTTAAATGTGGATATCCCCAAGGATCACTCTATTGTTTTCTCTTTATATATTTTTCTTTTGACAACCTTGTAGCTTCAATTACTGCTTCTATGCCAATAACAAGAGGGATGTTCAAGCCCAGACTCTTCAAGTTCAAATCTCATCCTCAACCTCCTGGTAGACTTTTCCACTTGATTTTCCCTCTGGTACCTCAAACTCAGTATATGGCGAACATAAAAAAAACCTCCATTCCCAATCTGCTCTTTTACCTGCATCTCCAGTTTTAGGTAACAGCATCACCCCAACATCAGTTTCATCCTGGTCTCCCCTCTCCTGTGTTTCTACATCTGGCTAAATCTAAATCAGGTTAGTTCTGCAACTACAATGTCTTTTCCATCTATCCCCATCATTACACTTCCTCTGCGCTCATTACTCCTCCACTGAACTATGACGACAGCTTTCTCACTGATATTGCCCCCAGCCTATGATCCTATGATCATGTCATACACAGCAACCCAAAGAATCTTTCTCAACATATCTTTATCATTTTCCTCCTTAGAAGCCTTCAAGATTCTCCAATGCATACACAATAAGATTGTGGCTGGAGGTTGGGATGAGGGACAGGATGGGGGAGTGGGGTGTTGCTGGTGGAAGTCCTGGAGTCCAAAGGCCCAGAGAACCAGGAACTCCAAAGTCTGAGAGCAGAAGAGGATATCCCAGCTCAAGAAGAGAGAGAGAGAAAATTCACCCTTTCTCCTCCTTTTTTGTTCTATTCAGACCTCAGTGGCTTGGATGTGATGCCCACCCACTTTGGTGAGGACAGATCTTCTTTACTTAGTCTACTGATTCAAATGCTAATCTCTTCTAAAAAACATCCTTACAGACACACCCCGAAATAAGGTTCACTTGATCTCTGGGCATCCTTTAGCTTAATCAAGTTGACACATGAAACTAACCATCAGAAAGTTGTTTGTGACATATCCTAGATCTTCCTTTTTTTTTTTTCTTATTGAGCTATAATTCACATTTCATAAAACTTCATCCTTTAAAGTGTACAATTCTTTGGTTTTTAATGTATTCACTGTTGTGCAGTCATCACCATGACCTAATTTCAGAACATTTTCATCTACCTACAAAAGAAATTCTAGGACTTCTCTGGTGGTCCATGGGTAAGATTCCACGCTCCCAATGCAGGGAGCCCGGGTTCGAACCCTGGTCGGGGAACAAGATCCTGCATGCGTGCCGTGACTAAGAGATCACATGCCGCAACTTAGAAGCCGGCATGCCGCAACAATGAGCCTACATGCTGCAACTAAAAGATCCCGCGTGCCACAAGGAAGATCCCGTGTGCCGCAACTAGACCCCGTGCAGCCTAAATAAATAAATAATAATAAAAAAAGAAATCCCGTACCTATTAGCCATCATTCCTTATTCCTCCCTGCCTCCTAGCCCCTGGATTACCACTTTCTGTTTCTACACATTTTCCTACACATATAAACAGATCATTCAATACACGGCCTTCTGACTTCTTTCATTTAGCATGTTTTCAAGGTTCATCTATGTTGTAGAATATGTAAGTACTTCATTTTGTTTTATGCCTGAATAATATTTCATTGTATGGTTATACCACATTTTGTGTATCCATCAATTGATGGACATTTAGATGGCTTCCACTTTTTGTCTATTATGAACGAAGCTGCTATGAGTATTCATGTATAAGTTTCTGTGTGGATATATGTTTTCAGTTCTCTTGGGTATAGACATAAAAGTGGAATTGTTGGGTCATAAAGTCAGAATTGAATTGCTGGTAACTCTATGTCTACCTTTTTGAGGACTGCCAAACTGTTTTTCACAGTGGCTATACCACTTTACATTCCCACCAGCAGGGTATGAGGGTTCCAATTTCTCTACACCCTCTCCAACACTTGTTATTTTTTGTCTTTTTTATTATAAACATCCTAGTGGGCATGAATTAGTATCTCATTGTGGTTATGATTTGTATTTTCCTACTGACTAATGATATTGAGCATCTTTTCATGTGTGTATTGGCCATTTTTACATTGTTTTTGAAGAAACATCTATTCAGTACTTTCCCATTTAAAAACTGTCTTTTGGGACTTCCCTGGCAGTTCAGTGGTTAAGACTTCGCCTTCCAATGCAGCGGGTGCGGGTTTAATCCCTGGTCGGTGAGATAAGATCCCACATGCCTCATAGCCAAAAAAAAAAAAAAACCCAAAACATAAAACAGAAGCAATATTGTAACAAATTCAATAAAGACTTTAAGAACAGTCCACATCAAAAAAGAAAATCTTTAAAAATTGTCTTTCTATTGTTGAATTGTAAGTATGTTTATATATCCTGGATACTAGTCTCTTATCAGATAAAGATCTGCAAAATTTGCCACCTATTCTATGGGTTGTCTTTTCATTTTTTGTATAGTATCCTTTCCAGCGCAAAACTTTATATTTTGATAAAGTCCAATTGATCTGTTTTCTTCTTTGTTGCTTATGCTTTTGGCATCATATGTAAGAAGCCATTGCCTAATCCAAGGTTATGAAGAGTTACACCTATATTTTCTTATAAGATTTTATGATTTTAACTCTTACATTTCAGTCTTTGATCAATCTTGAGTAATTTTTTGTATATGGTATGAATTATGGGTTCAACCTCATTCTTTTGCTAATGGATATCCTGCACCATTTGTTGAAAAGACTATTTTTTCCCCCATTGAATTGTTTGTCAACCTTGTTGAAAATCAACTGACCGTGAATGTGAGGGTTTATTTCTGGACTCTCTATTCTATTCCACGGAACTGTCTATCCTTATGGCAGTACTATATTGTCTTGATTATTGTACTTTGTAGTAAGTTTTAAAATTGGGGAGTGTAAGTGTTCCAACTTTGTTGTTCTTTCTCAAGATTATTTTGCCTCTCCCAAGTCCCTTACATGTCCATGACTTTTAGGATCAGCTTGTCAATTTCTGTAAAAAGGGCAGTGAGGGGACTTCCCTGGTGGTCCAGTGATTAAGACTCTGTGCTTCCACTGCAGTGGGCGAAGGTTCAATCGGTGGTCAGGGGCGAAGGTTCAATCGGTGGTCAGGGAACTAAGATCCCACATGCCGTGGGGCACAGCCAGAAAAATAAATAAATAACATTTTTTTTAAAAAAAAGGGCAGTGAGGATTTTGACAGTGATTTCACTGAATATGAAGACCAATTTGGGGAATACTGCCATCTTAACTGGACTCTTTTTGCACACATTGATATCAGGGACATTTTATGCCACTTGCCTCATTGTAAATTTTTTTTTTTTTTGCGGTACGCGGGCCTCTCACTGTTGTAGCCTCTCCTGTTGTGGAGCACAGGCTCCGGACGCGCAGGCTCGGCGGCCATGGCTCACGGGCCCAGCCGCTCCGCGGCAAGTGGGATCTTCGCGGACCGGGGCACGACCCCGGGTCCCCTGAGTCGGCGGGCGGACTCTCAACCACTGCGCCACCAGGGAAGCCCTGTAAATTTTTATAAACATGGCTGTCTTGTGCTGCCTTTTCGAAAAATTATTGAATCAAAGGTCAAAGCAGCTTTCTCTCTATTTTTCTTCTTTTAAACGACAAACTCTCCTCTAAATGGAAGACCTTTCGGCCTCTTTTGATTCTTTTTTTTCTTTTTTGCAGCATTAAAACTATTTTACCCCTTTAGCCACATCCGCCTAGTTCCCTAACCAATCTAATGCTAGTCTGTTGGACTCTTTTAGGAAATATCACCATCTTGTGGAACTTTGAGGTTTTGTCACCCCCGAATTCCCTGGCTTCTTGCTTCAAACCCAACGGATAAGAAAGTGGGATGCAAGGCCTTTGGGGTTCACAGAATGGGGAAGGGTGAATTTAAAGATTAGCTTGCTAATTCTACATTGGGTTTCATCCTAAGGAAATCATTATAAATACGTTCAGAGATCTATTTGTAAGAATCTTCAATGCAGCACTGTTCACAATAGTAAAAAATTGGAAATGAGTTAAATGTCCAATAACTATAAATTAGTTAAATAAATATGGTATATCCAGGGAAGAGAATATCATCTAACCACTAAGCATCATGTTGTCAAAGTCTATTTAATGATATGAAAAAAAGGTATATGTGTTGTTAAGTGAAAAAAGCAAACTGTACAGCTTATTTCAATTTTTGAAAAATAATTACACAGAGGAAAGTGAAAGGATATACACTAAAATTAAAAAAATTGAGATATAATTGACATATATACAACATTGTATAAGTTTAAGGTGTACGACATATTGACTTGATAAAAATTTAACAGTATAGGTTATAAATGACTGTGTGTTTCCCTATTTTCCAGCCTTTCTACATTAAATATTGGAAGTTTCTCACCTCTTTTTTTTTTTTAACTGCTTTTTTATTAAGGAAAGAGACACGTTAAAATAGATCAGTCTGGGGACTTCGTTGGTGGTCCAGTGGTTGAGACTCTGCGCTTCCACTTCAGGAGGCATGGGTTCGATCCCTGGTCGGGGAACTAAATCCCACATGCCGTGCAGCAAGGCCAAAAAATGTCTTAAAATAGATCAGTCTGTAGTATAACGAATACAAAATGGGTCACATTTTACTCGTCTAGCTATAGTCTCCTGCCAGTGCACCATTTGGAGACCTCTGCTGGGATCCTTACCACAAAAAGCATTCTCCTTTAGAACTTAGCTTCATCATGCTCCCATATACCTAGAGTAAGACCAGTTCTGAGAAGGTCTGAAGTGTGTGAATAAAAGTATGGAGTGAGGAAGGGAGGGAGTCCTAGAAGTTGGGGATGGGATAGCTAATCAAAAGAACCTGCTACCATAGGAACAGGCGTTGGAATGAAAGTTTCAGGGCACCAAGGTTTTTCCAGCTCGTACATCTATCTTCCCCATCACTCTGTCCATTCTTTAGTTCATGAGTTTTACTTTGAGGGGGGGAGGAATTTGGACCAGACCCTGGATGTAAAGGAAAGCCAATTACTGACACCACCGCCCCCTCCCAAGGCCGAACTAAATAGGAACCATCTGGTATTTCCCCTTTGTCACCAGGGCCATGGTAGGTTTTGATTGGCTCTTCATATGGACCAAGCTGACTGCAACCAATCAGGAAAGAGGCTGTAAGAAATGTTTATTCTTTCCACTACTATCAACTCACCATCAGTATGCCCTCAGTAATTGTGCTCTGAATGGGAAGTATGAAATGCTGAATGCAAATAACATAGCACACGATCTCCCCCCTTTAACTTGATTCAAGTGTTTCCCTTGAGTACTGGGAGTCCTAGGATAAAAGTTCAAGTTTTACTTCAGGTGTCTCTATTCTACTTCTGCCTTTCAGGCTTAGCTCAGATACCTCCAAGGCATCACCATCTGGATTCCTGCCTTGCTCTGTGGGGTTCCTGTGGCGCTTAGGTGAGCCCCACTGCAGCATCACCCTGCCCAATAGTTACAGAAATTACATTACCTCATATGGAGTTAGTGGCAGTAGTAGCCTTGGGATCAGGAGCATAGGGTTTGGAATTAGAGAGACCTAGGTGTCAGTCCTGAACTCCCAACTCTTCCTAGGGTTGGGATGATGGCAAAATACTTTTCCTCTCTGAACTTTGATTTCCTCATCTATTGAATATGGATAATAACACTGACCTTAGAGAGTTCATGCTTTACACATAGGAAGAGCTTGCTAAATATTTAATATTATTGAACAAAAGTTGAAAAAGTTAATATATTTTATGAACAAGGTGAGAAGCGATAGTTTCAGCAAATTGGCTTCCCAGATGGTCCAGGGAGTGAAATATGTATAATTGAAGAAATGAATAGAAGACCAACACTTAGAGCTTGTCTGTCTTATCGTTATCTTTTTTTAAAAAAAAATTGTGGTAAAATATACATAACATAAAATTTACTATTTTAACCATTTTCAGGTGTACAATTCAGTGGCATTAATACAGTCACATTGTTGTGCAACCATCACCACTCGGGCTTGTCTTTCTTTTTTTTTTTTGCGGTACGCGGGCCTCTCACTGTTGTGGCCTCTCCAGTTGCGGAGCACAGGCTCTGGACGTGCAGGCTCAGCGGCCATGGCTCACGGGCCCAGCCGCTCCGCGGCATGTGGGATCTTCCCAGACGGGGGCACGAACCCGTGTCCCCTACATCGGCAGGCGGACTCTCAACCACTGCGCCACCAGGGAAGCCCTGGGCTTGTCTTTCTTAAACACAGAATTTCATGCCTAGGATATGGAAGTGGCACTGTAATACATTTGTTAATAAGGCATCATAAATCGTTTTTTAGAAATAAGTTTTTCCATGACCAAATTTATGTATGTATGTATGTATTTGGCTGCGCCAGGTCTTAGTTGCAGCAGGCAGGCTCCTTAGCAACTCTTAGTTGCAGCATGCATGTGGGATCTAGTTCCCTGACCAGGGTTCTAACCTGGGCCCCCTGCACTGGGAGCATGAGTCACCAGGGAAGTCCCCCATAAATCTTTATTTTTCAGAGATAAAATATCTTTCTAAGATTCTGTACTTCTTTCAGCTCTGTGCATTTGAATTAGCTGAATTATAGTGTAGTGCCTTAAAGCTAAACTTATTGGTTTAAATCTTGGCTCTCCCACCAGCTCCCTGTGTGATCTTGGGCAAATTACTTAACCTTTTGTGTTTTAATTTTAGCGTCTTAAAAGAGGGATCATAGTAATAGTATTTTTTTAGAGAGTTGTTGGGTTGATTAAATGAGTAAATAGTACCTGGCACATGGTAGTTGGGATACAAATGTTAGGTATTGTTTTTATTATGTGAAATAATGTCTTTGAAGTCTTTTTCCTGCTGGACTGAATGTGCTGGAAGGGCAGAGACTTCACCAGTTTTGCCTACTGTTAACTCAGTTCCTTGCAAATACTTCCAAATGGGCTTAGAGCCCAGCCCCCTCCTTTTTTTTTTGCCTTAAATTTTTAAATTGTTTATTTGCACATGTACTTACTTGAGAAAGGGTTAAGATGGCCGACTACTATTTCATGAACATTTTGAGTTTTATTTTAAAGGTTAGTGTGTTTGGGGAAGGAGATGGTTAGGAAAAATCGACACTTCCCTTTTTAACTTACGAGGGGAGTGACCCCAGGGAAACACTAGAGCACTTAGTGCCTTCCAGGAATTCCTCTGTTAGCCCTAGGCTTTACGTGGGGGTCCTGAGCTCTGCAGTGGGGAGGTTAGGCATATGCCTTTAGCAGACGCTGTTTGTCAGCATTGTCCTAACCCCAGGAAAGGGGAGGAGGCAAGGCGAGTGAGTCAATGATGACATCATCAATTAGCATAAGTTTCCCAAATCGGCTGACCGAGTTTTCACTTGCTAGGCCAAGGCAAATTTGAGTTCTCTTACCGCGCAAACGGGAGATTTCTTGGAACTTGGACTTGGAGCACGAAGAGGATTCTAATTTCTTTAAAGCTCTGTTTTCAGGAAATTTTTCTGAGAACTTTTTACCTCCAGAGGATCAGTGGAATTTGATCTGAAGGTATGTAATTAACACCTTTTCTCTGCTGGAGTCTGAGGCACCAGGCTTTTTTTCCCCTTGCTTTACTTCCTGGATACTTGCACAATCTCACATTGTCAGCAATGGCACTGTTTCTGCCTGGATTTACTAGCCCTAACATGGAAAAAGAAAGGTTAGCCCCAGGAAAACTCCCACACAGCCCTTTCCTGGTAGAAATATGCTAGCCCATAAATAGAGACAAAGTCTGGCAGACTTGCCAGAGCTAGAGATCAGAATTTTCAGGAAACTGCAAGACAAATGTACGATGTTAGAATAAGATGTCTCCAGGAATCCAGTCATACTGTTTCTAGTATCACAGAGCTACTAGAAGGTAAGACCCAATAGATACTCACATTAAAGATGACATTTTTTTTCTTTTTCTAACTATAAAAGTAATATACGTTCGTTGCATAAAATTTGAGAAACTCAGACAGGAGCCCAGAATAAAATTTATAGTATCTGTAATTATACCACTTATATATAACCACTCTTTGTTATTTTTTTGTTGTTGGTATGTTCGCCTTCCCTTAGAAAGTAGTTTCTAAATAGCTAAGTGTTGCATAGTGAATATATACCTCAAGTCCTTAAAGAATGAATAATTACATTGAAAAAATATTATCAATTCATTGCTCCTCTGATTAGAATGAAATTTAGTGTGGAAATACATTTAGTGTGGAAATACTGACTTCGGTAATTTGTCAGTTCCTACGTTGATTTGAGCAAATGTTGTCTGAAACCACTCTTTCTGGGGTCTGGGATTATGACTTTTCTTTCTGTGAGATAAAGAAAGGCCTGCCCTGGTATGGTTAGCAATGTTACCTTGTTGTCCTTAGGTTGGTAGATACTTCAGAAATGTAGCCCCCCATTACTTTATTTCTAAAATGTAAAAGTGTTACTTCTGCCATTTGGTGGGAATGACTTAAGAGCTCCAGGCGGGAGAAATTGTGCTGTGTCGTCCTCCCTCTTGACTAGCTCCCAATGGGGGCATTTTGATTTGGGGTAACTCGGGGTCAATTGAGTTTCAATAAAAGCTCTCTTCAGACCTCCTAAAAGGTTAACATGCCGGTGTTGGGGTCACGTTTTCTGGGCTATAGGTTTTTGAAGTGACCTCGCAGTGAATTTCATTTTTCAGCATTTCTAGAAAAGTCTAAGGCCTGGAACAGAGGAGGCTGGAACTGGGGGAGGGCCTGGGAAGATGGGGTGCCCTGTTGTCCTCACTCTCTAAGCTGTGGGCCCCAACTCCGTATCTCTTTCAGGCTGGCCATGACATCGCAAGGCCAAAGTTTGAATTCCACTTTAGATGATAACTGTCAAGTGGATTTTCGAGGGACACTTCTGACTATTAATTCGTACCTGGGGGATCAAGACGTGGAGCACCTGAAGTTCCTCTGCCGAGACTCCATCACCCCCAAGAACCTGGAGAAGTGCGGCTCAGCCTTGGATATCTTTGAGTACCTGTTGGCAGAGGAATGGCTGACTGAGGAAGACCCCTTCTTCCTAGCGGAGCTCCTCTACACCATCAAGCAGAAGGTCCTCCTTCGGCACCTCCGCTACACCAAGGAGCAGGTGGAGAACTGGCTGCCTGTCCGCCGGAAGGTCTCTCTGTTCAGGTGATTGACACGGCAGGGCCATTGGGCTTTGAAAAGAGGCTGCGATTCATGATGAATTAATTTTTAAGGTTGTTTTTCTTTACCCCCCCTTATCTACCTCTTTGGCTGGTATGGTGAGTCTAAAGCAGGAGATTTCTTAACTTCAGGTGCTAATGAGAATGGAGGCTGGGAGGTCAGCAAAGTTTCAAAACCCATCTCCGTGCCTGGGGGTGGCTTCCCTTTGTTTTGCTTCTCACTGAGGAAGGAGGCCCAGCTCCGTGTGCAGCAGGCCAGCGCCTTCCTCACTGCCAGCCTCCACGCTCTCAGTCTCCTGCCTCCAGTGAGTCACTGGTGTGTCAGCCTATACCTAGCCATTTGAGAAGAGAGAAATGAATACTTGGAACCAAGTGAGCAAAATAAAAAAGGAGATGTGCCTTTGGGGTAGGGAGGGACATCATTTATGCCATGTCCAGTTTGTCCAGTTTTGGGGTGAAACCCAAACAGGTAAAATATAGGTATTTTGCCCAAAGAGGTAGAATAAAGGCATCAGACCTTAAGCAACGCTGTTTTAAACGGTCCACTAACATAGTATCTACATCAAACAGCCTCACGAAGTGGAGCCTTCGTAATACTATTTTACAGCCTGGACTGTTAGAATCCTTCAGGCCTTAACACTTGAACTGGTTCCTACAACCTGAGCTGCCCTTGGGTCAGTGAGGGAATTCTGGAGATCATTATTTCCACTCTGCTGGTTAGACAGCTGAGGAATGGTCTCAGGCAGGCAGAGCTATTAACCTGTGAATGAAGTATTCAGTTTTTCTTTTCTGTTTTGTTTTTGGTTGTGCCACACGGCATGTGGGATCTTAGTTCCCCAACCAGGGATCGAACCCGCGCCCAACCACTGGACCGCCAGGGAAGTCCCCATATTCAGTTATTCTAATTGTCAACTGTATGGCTCTCCAGAATTTGGATAGTTTCCTTTCTTTTTCAACAGTGAACTCTTTTTCAACAGTGAACTCTTTTTCAACAGTGAACTTTATACTCACTGGCATTGAGTCCTCCCTGATGAGGGCCTATAAAGTAAGCCTGATTTCTAGAATGGAGTCTGGAGGAGGGCAGGCATGCCGACATTTTGTTTCATGCCTTCTTAGTGGAATTTGAAACAGCACCGGACTTGGAATCAGAAGGCCTGCTCCTACTGCTTACTGTGTTGCTGTTGTTTAATAGGTCACTTTGAAGCTCAAAGTTTTTGTTTTTAAATCTATCAAATGGGATTAATAGTTGTCTACTCACAGGGTTGTGGTCATTCAAACGAGAGATAACGTACGATAAAAGCACTCAATTTCCTGCCCATCCTCTGCAAGTGCGGAACTTTAATTTGTCTCTTGGGTGTATGTCTTAGAAACCTGCTCTATGAACTGTCAGAAGACATCAGCTCAGAGAACTTAAAGAGCATGATCTTCCTTCTGAGGGAGTCGATTCCAAAAGTCCAGATGGTGAGTGGGCCCTATAGGATGGGGTCTTTGTGAACATTGCCTTAATCAGTGTTTGGGAAGATGCTAGAAAGGGATTTCAGGAGGGCTCATTTTTTTTGCAGGAGACAATATCAGACAAGGGTTAGCAACATTGACTTTTAATGGGCCTGGAGTCTAGTCCTAGACTAACTCCTGGATGTAGGGCAAGTGATTGAATGTTTCTGAGCCTCCATTTTCTAATGTGTCATATTATAGACAATTATACTACTTCCTTCCAGGACTGTTAAGAGTATTAGATGAAATAATATACATAAACTATTAGCTGGGGCCTGTATTTTGCACATAGTAACCATGCAGTAAACGAGTGCTATTGACATCCACTGTGTTTTATGATACAGAAATGTGCAGGGCACCACAAAGAAATGAGGAGGTGGTAGCTAATGGCAGAATGGGAATTAGCTGTTCCTCACATCCATTAGTTGAGGTTTCTGAGGGAGCTGTGTCCTTTTCAGTGGACGTTGCATGTCTCCCATGTAGAGTTTTGTGAAAATCAGATGAGACAAATGTTTGAGGATGTGCTTTCTAAAGGGCTATACAAGTGCTTGGCACTAATAGTAATGTGTTTAATATTAACATAATGCTGTCGGCTGATATTCTTGCTAGATTGGTCACAATTACGGGCAGAAAAGTAGCTGCACATCTCTCTTCCAGGCCTCAAAACTTTATATTTTTTCTTTTGATTCTCATAACAGCTTGTGACAAGCAACTTAGTTAATTTGGGAAGGGGCCAATTTTCAAATTTTACCCTATAACATTAATTTTGTTATTCGACAGCTATCTTTATTAAGTTATATAATGTTTGATAACACCAAAAAAGACATGTAACATGTATGGAAGTTATAAATGTAGAACTAAGTGAACAGCCATGGATCCCCCATCCAACTTACAGATGAGCACATCACCAGTGCAAAGAGCTTACATGTGTAGCCCTCCCATATCACATTCTCCCCAGACTAACTGATTTTATTGACAAATAAATTCTTTCTTTTTTTTTTTTCGGTACGCGGGCCTCTCACCGCTGTGGCCTCTCCTGCCACGGAGCACAGGCTCCGGACGCGCAGGCCCAGCGGCCATGGCTCACGGGCCCAGCCGCTCCGCGGCATGTGGGATCCTCCCGGACCCGGGGCACGAACCCGTGCCCCCCACATCGGCAGGCGGACTCCCAACCACTGCGCCACCAGGGAAGCCCCAAATAAATTCTTTTTGAAAGAAAAATCACTGAGGAGTAGGAAGCTGTTTTACATGTGGTAGGTCTTATGAGGACCATGTTTAACAATTCATTAAACATGTTTCCTGGTGTCAGACCTGTAGGTTAATTAACCTGCAGGTTAATTCTCTGTCTTGGTTGCAATCTTTGAGTCCTTTTTTTCTCCTTTTCAGAGCCCCCAGGGATTTTAGCCTCTTGCGTCTTTCCATTGGTTCTCTCTCCAGGCTCCTTTATCCTAAGGATTGGTTGTGGGATCCTTGGGAATGGGGACTGAGTCTTACTTATCATTATAGCCCCAGAACATTGCAAAATTACATAATGGTGCTCCGAATGAAAGCATGAATGAATGGGATGATGCAATCTCGAGTTTATGTTGGTGCAAAGTGGTTATATACTCAAATGACAGCATTTTGCTTTAAATGTAGAATTTCTCAACATCAGAAGAGATTCTTGTAGTTTGAAAAACCCTCCAGCATATTCGGATAAAATTATCTCCCAGCTTTGGGCATCTTCTCATAATTTTTCCAGTCTCTGGGTTTATAAATAAAAAGAGAGACCCCTTTCTATTGTTACACCTATTGTCATGCACAGAAGTCCTTACTCCCCACAGTGTGGTGGAGGATGAGAGGGGCATTTGATATGCTCAACACCGAGCCATAATTTCCCACTAAGAAAAGCTGGGGAATGTATTTCTTCCTCTGGGCCTTTCCACAGGTCCTAGACCTCTGCTTAAAGGCATCTGTGGCTTCAGAAACATTTTCATTGTTCAGGATCATTCCAAACATTTCTCCCCCCTGCTAAATTAGCTTTTAAATCATCAAAGGCCCATGCCCAAGTAGCCAAATGATTTTATGCTTTTCTCACTCCGTACAACAGTAAATAAGAAGTTACTGTGTTTAGCTGTGGCATAAAACTGTGGAATGTCCTGGACAAATTCATGAAAACTGCACTCCCTTCTTGGATTCCAAATGATCTCACTGTATTCTGAAGGAGATCTAACTATTCACGCCAGAACTGTGGCTGTGTTACACACCTGATAATCCAGGTTGATCTCTATTGGGCTTTGTGATCAGGCCAGCCTTCTCGAGTGCGTAAAGGACAAACTCTAAGCAACCCAGATGTGTTTCCATACCAGGGCTTAATGGGACTGCATTACCTGCAATTGCAATTGCAAAAGACTTTATCACAGAAATAAATTCTTTACCAGCCAGTGGAGGAGGGCCTGAATACCTCTCAGCCAAAAAGGAAGAATTGTGAATTCACGTGGTCTCTCTGGATGAACAGAAACGACCTCTGCAGCGTGTTCTAGGTTTCCTCTTTGATAGCTTTCACACAAACTTAGAGCAAACATAGCTGCCTTCACACATCCTGAGTGACCCAAACAACTGTCAGGATATCCGTTCTCAATGTAGCAATCAACATAGAACGTTAGTTGTAAAGGAAACCACACCCAAACCTATCTTTTTAACAAAGATGCAGAGCAAGAGTTTCAGAATTTCTGCTAATATTTGCCAGGGTGGTGTTCTTAAACTAATGTGCAGACTCCATTTATATTGTGGGTGTTCGTGTGTGTGTGTGTGTGTGTGTGTGTGTGTGTGTGTATGGAGGGTGTCATTGACTCAACATCTAATACACTTTGTACAAAGTATAATGGGTTTCCAAAATTGCTTCTGGAAACACGCTTTAGCCCTTTTTCTTCCTCCTGGTAGGATGCAGTCAAGATAGGAGTTTCTGTTTTGAGCTTCAGTGGGAGCTCATTTGCACATAAACCGATGGTAGAACCTTGTTCGGGGATTCCCTCTGACCCCTTTGCCCAGCTGATCAGCTCTGGTTGAATCTTCCTTTACTCCCCCCCCCTCCTGCTTTATTTCCTGGGCAGATTGTTCGTGTGCTGGCGCTGCAGGTGAGGACACACACATTTCTTTGCCTTTTTGGTTCTCTTATGTGTCTCTGGAATGTCTTGAAAATTTATAATCTCTTTTTTGATCAGATTAGTACAGAACTCAGTTAAGACTTTGTAACTCTGGCCTTTCCCTTGGTTATTGGCATTTTGAGTACCTTGTTTGAAAACACATTTCGCGCACGTGCACGCACACACACACACGCACACACACACACACTCTTCCATTAACCCTTTTTCATCCTTCTGTTACTGCTCTATCTTCTTTCTCTTTACTGCCAGACTTCTTTTTTTTTTAATTTTATTTATTTGTCTTTATTTTATTTATTTATTTATGGCTGAGTTGGGTCCTCGTTGCTGTGCGGGCTTTCTCTGGTTGTGGTGAGCGGGGGCTACTCTTCGTTGCAGTGCGTGGGCTTGTCATTGCAGTGGTTTCTCTTGTTGCGGAGCATGGGCTCTAGGCGTGTGGGCTCAGTAGTTGTGGCACACAGACTCAGTAGCTGTGGCGTGCAGGCTCAGTAGTTGTGATGCACGGGCTTAGCTGCTCTGTGGCATGTGGGATCTTCCCGGACCAGGGCTCGAACCCATGTCCCCTGCGTTGGCAGGCAGATTCTTAACCACTGTGCCACCAGGGAAGTCCTACTGCCAGACTTCTTGAAAGAATTGTCCACACACGCTCCCTCTCCACTGACGTGACTCTTAGTCACACTCCAACACATTCCAAGATGGCTTCAGCCTCCTTCATTCCCACGAAACTATTCTTGCCGAAACTACCATGAGCCTGCTCACAGCCAGATTTTTAGTTTCTCATTTTCCCTATCTGATTTTCTTTGCTTGGAAGGCCCTTCTGCATGTCGGAAGTGAAGGTGTGGTGATCTTTCGAGATGCGCTTCACGTTATCACCTCCCATGTGCAGCTCGTGTGACACCTGCTCTGTGGAGCCCGTGAGTCAGGCAGAAACGAGGGGCATCACCATTTGAAGTCATCTTCGACTCGTCCTTCCTTTCTTCACCCACTCCAGTTGACCTCCCAACTCACCAAATTATACCTCAGAAAAGCCCAAATCCAGTGCCTCCTCAGAAAAGCCCAAATCCAGTGCCTCCTCTGCGTTTCCACCACTAGCTTTAGACCAGGCCGTGCTGATCTCTTCACTGGAGCATTTAATCTTCCTGCTGATATTTTCTCTCTAGCCCACTTCCTCCTCCAACCTATCCCCAAGACTTCTATTTAAAAACAAACCTGTTCATGTCACTGTTCTCCTTAAAAATTCCTGCTGGAACCCCTTCATCCATGGGATACTTGCCCAAACCCCTCGGTGTTCGTTCATGGCCTGATACCAGCCTGCTGTTCCAGCTGTGGCCTAGCTTTCACTCGGAGTTTGTACGCAGGTCTCCTCCTCAATATTCCTGACCATACGGTCCCTTTTCAACCGGCCAGCATGTCTGGAGACTCCCCGGCCCCCTTTTTCCATCCTGCTGATGCTTATGTATGCAGTTAGCAAGTGTTTAGCTGTTCACTTTCTGATTAGTTATTTTATTTATTTATTTTTTGGCCGCTCTGCGCAGCATGTGGGATCTTACTTAGGTCCTCGACCAGGGATCGAACCCGTGTCCCCTGCAGTGGAAGCATGAGGGTCTTAACCACTGGACCTCCAGGGAAGTCCCTCTGATTAGTTATTCTTTTCTGTGGGCTCTAACACAATTTTATTCATATACATATTTTCATAACCAGGTTAATACATTGGTTGAGAAGTCCTTATCACTGAAAAGATTATGGTGACTTCCACCTCATATGTAATTCAATATTAAAATAATACTAGCCAATCTGCAGTTTTTCCCAAGAGTGCTTAAGATATGTTTTTCTTTTAAAATACCAAATATAAAATTCTTTCAAAGCATTTTCTTCTCTTTTCTTTGGTACTCCTGTTTTGCTGCTGCCCTAATCTGTTAATGAGACAGACTTTGGCCTCAGGCTGCCAGGACTCAAATACCAGCTCTGCCACTTATTGGCTCTGTGACCTTGGACGACTTACTGAACCTCCCTGTGCCTCAGTTATTTCATCTTTAAAATGGGGATATAATAGCATCTGCTCATCGGATTGTTTCTGAGTAGTTAGTGAGTGATGTGTGTTTGGTATCTGGTATTAATATAGATTGTATAGAGATTTACAATCTCTATAATGCCTCTTCCCCCCTACTATTGAAGTCTTCCTGCATGGACTCTCCACCTAATTTATTACTGCAGTGGGTAATCAGTAGGCAAGTAAATGTGACTCCATTGATTCTCTTGCAGACCTCTCTAAGTTTCCTGGCATATCTGGAGAAACAAGAGAAAATAGATGAAGATAATCTGACATTACTGGAGGATCTCTGCAAAAAAATTGTACCTAATCTTATGAGAAAGATAGACAAATATAAAAGAGAGAAAGGTAACTAGCTTATGCTTGCTTGCTTGCTCGAATCAAACCATGGGAATTCTTAAACCAATTGGCCATGTATGATGTTTACTTATCACTCTGATAATATTCTTTTGAAATCTCCCCATTTGTTCATTTAACACATGTTTATTGAATGCATACTTTGTACTAGGCACAGTTTTAGAAGTTGGAGCTACAGCAAGGTATAGGGCAAAGCTTCTACCTTCTTGGAGCTTATATTCTAATGAGGGAAAGTGGTTTTAGACAAACGTCTTCTTCTGATTCTTACATGGAAGTGATTGTAAAAGAAATTGTTTTGAATGAAATAACATCAAAAAGAAGGAGGCATGATGGCACAGGAATTAAGAGTGAGATCCATGGAGTCAGATTGCCAGCACTCCACTTATTAATGGTGCAGTGGCCCTTTCCTCAGCTGTTCTGTGTCTCACTTTTCCCATCTTTAAAGTGGGGCTAATCATAGTACCTACTTCATAATTTATTTTGAGGATTGAATGAGGTAATTCCTATAAAATGCATGTCTGGCACAGAGTAAGCATTCAATACACATTGCTATGAATATGTTTGTTAGAGAGGAAAGTCATGAAAACTTTCATATTCTCGTAAAGTACTATCAGAGAAGAATTTTCTTTTTCTTTCTCTTTTGTTTTTAATCAGGCTTGTAAAGGTAGTATTGCTGTGGTACTATGTAGAAGTAGTTGCATAGGGCAGAAATCAAACTTGGCTGCCTTACCATGTGTCAATACGCTGAATATTTGTGGTTTATTGAGTCCACTCCTCCACTATTAAACAAAAGCTAAAAGTAAACACTCAGGATTGTATTCATGAAGCTTATATGCCACACCCATATTTTAGTTCAGAGACTCAACATAGTGTGCAAATTTATCTGGTTGAAAACAAAACTAGGCAAAAGGAAACTTTCTCTAAGAATTCTATTAACACAAAATAAGTCGAGGAACAAAATGTACTGTTGTTAATTTGATAAAATCTCAAACAATAACCAAATCAATGGATAATTTAATGTATATTTTAAGTAAAAATTATGAGGACTAAAAACAGCTCTTCTAACCATCAAGTCATCAAGTGAGAACTAAAAACAGGGAGTTGATATTGAAAGTATATTTGAAATCCTCACTTGAACTTTGAATGCTGAGATTTTTTTTTCCTGATCATATCATCGTTTTCCTGTAATGCAGTACTCCACACAGAATAGACAGAGGGCAGGTGGCCAGATTATTTTGACTATTTGGACTCTGGAGAAGCCTCTCTAGTTTCTAGGCAGTAAATGTTTACATTTGCCTCAGTGAGTCTTGAGGACTGAGCTTTATTATCAGAAGAATTCTTTTTCTCTTTGATTTACAATCTTGTATTAGTTTCAGGTGTACACAAAGTGATTCAGTTACACACACACGCACATTCTTTTCAGATTCTTTTCAATTATAGGCTATTACAAGATATTGAATATAGCTCCCAGTCAGAAGAATTCTAATTTTGATTTTTCTCTTCTATAATCTACATGCTGTATGATCATTTTTTGGATGTTGAAAGAAAAAACTTGTTTTCCTTTACTAACACTCACAACAACATTCTGGAACACTTCTGAACCCAGGGGTGTGGGTTTTTCCACACCAAGCAATTCTCCAACTCTGCAGACACCAACTGGGTGTCCTGTGTTTTAATTCAGTTCTGACACTCATCAGTTATTGCAGATCCCACAGGTTAAGGGTTCAGTCCGCCAAGACTCCCCCCACCACTTCAGCCACCAATCTCAGGTAGTGGGTCCCCAGATTACCCACAGCTTCTGTTCAACTTGGTTACAAACCAGGGGTTCCCATGACCCCTTCATCAGGTTTGATAATTCGCTAGAACTGTTCACAGAACTTAGGAAAATAGTTTACTTACTAGGTTACTGATTTATTACAAAGTATACAACTCAGGAACAGCCAAGTGGAAGAGATGCAAAGGGCAAGGCATGGGGGAAGGAGCATGGAAGTTCCATGCCCCCTCCAGGTGGATCACCCTCCCAACACCTCCACTTGTTCACCAACCCAGAAGCTCTCTGAACCCCCTCAGTTAGGGTTTTTTCTTTTTGTTTTTGGCCACACTGCCTGGCAGCGGGATCCCAATTCCCTGACCAGGCACGGAACCCGTGCCCCCACTGCAGTGGAAGCGCAGAATTTTAACCACTGGACCGCCAGGGAAGTCCCTCAGTTAGGGTTTTTTGGTTTTTTTTTTTGGTACGCGGGCCTCTCACCGCTGTGGCCCCTCCCGCTGCGGAGCACAGGCTCTGGACACGCAGGCTCAATGGCCATGGCTCACGGGCCCAGCCGCTCCGCGGCACGTGGGATCCTCCCGGACCGGGGCACGAACCCGGGTCCCCTGCCTCGGCAGGCGGACTGCCAACCACTGCGCCACCAGGGAAGCCCTAAGTTAGGGTTTTTAATGGAGGCTTTGTTACGTAGGCACGATTGATTAAATCATTGGCCACTGTAATTAATTCAACCTTAGCCCCTGTCCCCTTTCCACAGTTCTGGGAGTAAAGCTGAAAGTTCCGACCCTCTGATCATTTGATTGGGTCCCCTGGCAACCAGCCCCCATCCTGAGGCTATCAGGATGTCCCCAACCACCAGTCATGTCATTAGCATACAAAAAGACAATCACTTAAGAGAGTGTAGGGTTTTAGGAACTGTGTGCCAGGAAAAGGGGCAGAGACCACATGGATATTTATTATTATATCATAGGTCTCAGTATTTTAATATTGACTTTCTACAGTCCTCTGAGAGTTTGGGCATAATTCTGCCATTTAGGATGAAGGACTAAAGGACTGAAAAGAGAGTAGCTATGCAGATTTTAGGCTTCTGTAAGTGAGGTGAGTGGAAAGATTAAGCCCACTGTACCTGATTAGGACACAAGCTCTGTTTAAGGACTGCCTGGATATCTTTCTGAGTTTTCCTGAGCCTTGGTGTTTGTTTTAATATTTTAAATTCATTATTAAAAATAATGTATAATAATTATAATAAAATTAAATAGAAATTCAAATAATGACAACAATACAGAGTGTAGGAGGTAAAGTCTTTCTCTTCTTTTTCTTCCACTGCTGGTCCATTCCCCAGAGAGAACCCCTGTTTGGAGTATATGTTTGTAGCTTTTCTTCTATATAGAGATAAGTGCATGTGTGTATGCATGTATGGAGAGATAGATACCTATAATACATATTTAACTAAGATCATGCTAATCATATTCCATAACTTGCTTTTTTCCCACCTAATATATCTGGCATTTTCCCATGTATATAACACAGATACGGCTTATTTTTATTAATGGTTCCATAGAGACATATTTTATGTATATAACATATGTATTTAATCAACACTTTTAAATGGTTTTTCTTTTCCTTTCCTTCTCTTCCTACCTTCTTTTGCTTCTTTCTTTCGTTTTCTTTTTGCTATTGCAGTCTGAGTTCTGGTTTTATTTCTTGAGGTAATGTTTTTGTAATCTTTATTTAGCAGTTACCTGACACACTGAGCACTGTAAGTTCTGAAATGGTATTTAGTAAAGTATACAGTAATTTTAAGGAACTAATTAACTTACAAAAATAATAGAAATAGTAGGGAACAAAATATCATAATATAAGGAATGAAAATATAATGATAAAAATAATTTATAAATTCACATTTTTCTCGATATCTACATGTCGGCCTCTTTAAGCAAATGCCACTACAAATCTACAGGTCCCTATAACATAATTTCTTATGATGATGGGTTATTTCGGATTGCCACTAGTCAGAAGGTGATTGTTTTGTTTTTCTATCTGATTCTATTCCCAGCCTCCCAGGTACGGGCACCTCCTGTAGCCAAGGAAACTGAGTCATTGCATCAAGGAGAGAAAGAACTATTTTGCCACTCGGACATTAAGCAATTGCTTGGAGCCTTGCCGGTAGGTTCATTGGTGTGTTGGTAAATGTGTAACCACCAGCTTCACTGCAAATGGGAGAGAGAGAGAGAGAGAGAGAGAGAGAGAGAGAGAGAGAATGATTTGTAGCATTTGGTGTAAATACTCCTACCATGGCTGATTTCAAGTTACCAACTTGATATTAACTGTATTGCAGAATTTCTGAAAATCTAATGATTGGTTCTCACTAGCTGTTTAGAGCTTACTCCAGTACACCACTGGGTTGCTTTGAAATGGTTCTGTTCTTATCTGTGGGATTCGATCACGGACGGCTTCATGGGCGTACAGCCTGTTCAATCGCACAGGGCCCATACTTTTTGAATGCTCAGCTGTCATTGTTTTGAAATTCTTGATAATGTGTGAACAAGGGTCCTCACAGTTTTACTTTGCACTGGGTCCCAGAGGACAAGAACTGGGCTCCTGTAGTACCCAGCAAAGGTAGGGTAGGTAGAGGGGGAAACACTGGGAGAATTTGCAATCCATTCTTCACAACATGATCATGGTTCTTGGAAGACACATGACATTCTTCCCTGGGATTTATGTTTATTCCCATCTTGCTTGGCAGTTCTATTTTGCTGACATCTGTCAGCATCAATGAAGTTAGGTTGTCCCTGGAATTTTTTGTTTTTGGTTTTGTTTTCTAATTGTGGTAAAATACACATAACATAAAATTGACCATCTTAACCATACATAAATTTTTTTTAAAGTTGTTGTAAAATACAAATAACATAAAATGTACCATGTTAGCCATTTTTAAGTGTACAGTTTAGTATTGTTAAGTACAGTCACATTGTTGTGTAGACAATTTCCAGAGCTCACTTCATCGTGAAAACTGAAACTATATCCATTAAACACTAACTCCCCATTCCCCCTCCCACCAGCTCCTGGCACACACCATTCTACTTCCTGTCTATGAATTTGACCATTCTGGGTACCTCATATAAGTGGAAGCATACAGTATTTGTCTTTTTGTGACTGGCTTATTTCACTTAGCATAATGTCCTCAAGGTTCATCCATGTCAGACTTTTCTTCATTTTTAAGGCTCAGTAATATTCCAGTGTGTGTATATACCACACCTTGTTTATCCATTCATCCATGGATGGACACTTGAATAACTTCTACCTTTTCCCTATTGTGAATAATACTGGTTATGAACATGGGTGTACAAATATCTCTTTGAGACTCTGCTTTCAATTCTTTTGGGGTACCCAGAAGTGGAATTGCTGGGTCATATATCATTCTATATTTCTTTTCTTTTTTCTTTTTTTTTTTTGGCAGTGCCTCGGAGCTTGAAGGATCTTAGTTTCCCGACCAGGGTTTCAACCTGGGCCTGGGCAGTGAAAGTGCTGAGTCCTAACCACTGGACTGCCAGGGAATTCCCTATATTTCATTTTTTGAGAAACCACCATACTGTTTTCCATAGCAGCTGCATCATTTTGCATTTTCACAAACAAGGCACGAGGGTTCTCTACACCCTTGCTAACATTTGTTATTTTCTTGGTTTTTGATAGTAGCCAACCTAATGGCTGTGAGGTGGTATTTCATTGTAGTTTTGACTTGCATTTCCCTAATGATTAGTGATGTTGATCTTTGCACGTGCTTGTTGGCTATTTGTATATCTTCTTTGGAGAAATGTTTATTCAAGTCCTTCGCCCATTTTTTAATTGGGCTGTTTTGGAAGTTTTTTATTTTTATTTATTTTTTAAACATCTTTATTGGAGTATAATTGCTTTACAATGTTGCGCTAGTTTCTGCTATACAACAGAGTGAATCAGCTATATGTATACATATATCTCCATATACCCTCCCTCTTGCGTCTCCCTCCCACCCTGGAAGTTTTATTTTTTAATTCTTAAAAAATTCTTTCATAGCTTCTTTACTATTTTCATGGTGTCATATATTTACAGTTATAATTATTATTTTAAAATTTGGAAGTATGTTTAATCTTATAGAAAAGTTGAAAAAAATGTGAATAATACAAAATTTGTTTGCCCAGATTCACCTACCTGTTGTCACTTTTGTCCCATTTGCTTTATCATTTGTGTGCTCTCTCTTTATTTGTATACGCACACACATAATTTTTTCTGAACTTTTTAAGGGTAAGTTGCATACATCATGGCTCTTTACCCCTAAATACTTCAGTGTATATTTCATAATAATAAGGATATTGTTTTACAGATTATAGTACAGTTAAATTAAATTATATAAAAGTTTCACCAAGTCAGTGGTCCATATTTCAATTTTATCTGTTAACCCAATAATAACTTTTACAGGTTTTATAGCTTTTTTCCCTCCAGTACATAATTCAGTCTAGGATCATATATTGCATTTAGTTGTCATGTCTCTTTAGTCTCCTTAAATCTTTTCATCTCCACAACTTTCTTCCTCTTTTATGACATGGACACTTTTGAAGAATATAGTCACCACCACCACCACCTTTTATTAAAAAAATAGAATTTTCCTCTTTGTGTGTGTGTGTGTGTGTGTGTGTGTGTGTGTGTGTGTGCATGTGTGTGTGTGAGTGGTGTTACCTCATGATTAGGTTCAAGCTGTATATTCTGGCCAGAATATTACATCAATGATACCATATCTTTCTCAGGGCATCCCATCTGCAGGCATGTGGTGTTCATTGGCTCCCTATTCATGATTTACATTTTGATTATTTGGTCCAGATGTTGTCTGACTTCTTCACTATATAGTTAATTTTATGAAGTTACTATTTTTTCCCTTGAAATGAATTAAAATGTCACCTTAGATTGAGCATCCATTGATGATTCTTGCATGATTGAAAAGCAATGATTTTCAAACTCCAGTATTCTCTCCACATTTATGTTACCACTCAGCATTTTACTGTAAGCAGGAGTCCTCTTTTCTCCCTCAAAAGTTGTTTTGCCTACTCAGCTTAATTCCGTCCCTTGCCCACATTTTTACCTGGTTTTGTGCTCAGAGACTGATTTGCAAGTGGAAAACACACATGCGCGCGCACACACACACGCGCGCGCGCGCGCACGCACACACGCACACGTGCGCGCACACACACACACACAGGAGTTTCCCCTTTGCCTCCTAGAACCTGAGTAGTTTCTAAGGCGTGTGGCTCAGCCTTAACCTCTGAAGTGCTGCTGTTTTGTTGCTGTTGGGTGATTCTGGTCATGGCCAGATGAAGACGGAGAATAGCCGTGGTGGTGCTGGGAGTGCAGGAGGCTTTGGAGGGCAGAACCTCACGTTACACACATGCTTATAGGTTCTCAGCGTTGAAAGGTGTCTTAAAAGTTATCTAGGCCACGAGTCTCTCTCCATGAAGTGACAGATAAACTAAAACTTAGTAAATTATCTCATGTTTCATATGTACCTGAAAGGTTTTCTTATATAAAAGAGTACTGCCAACAATTGCATTTAATGAGAAGAAACTATTGACAACAACAAATCAATAAACAGTCTACAACAGGAATAGAAAAGGGTTTTATTTGATCCAAACTGAGGACTATAGCCTGGAAGACAGTTTCTCAGATAACTCTGAGGAACTGTTCCAGAGAAACATGGTTTTCAGCAGTTTTATGTCTTGTCAGAGCAAAGAACATCAAAAAAGTCGGGGAAACCTTCCTTCAAGGTTTCAAAAACAAAAACAAAAAGAGATCAGCATGTACACAGCAAGTCGGTATGGCCTTGGCACCTAAGTCGGTATGGTCTTATCATCAAAGGAGGACCAGCATTGGTGTCCCAGGAAGGGAGGCATTTAATCTTTATAACTATGGACATTTTTTACTTCTGGTCAGTGCGCCCTTTTCTTTAATAATTAAAGCAGGTGTACAGTGTATGCTTGATGGGCCACAAACGGGCTGTTGTAGTTAGCATAAAATTCAAGTTAACTCATGGATAAGCCAGGATGACTTCCCTGTTCCTCAATATGTGAAAATTTCTTTTATCAAAACTGTATTTCACTCCAATAAAGAAGTTAAAAGCAAAAAAAGATCCGCCCTCTTAGCAAGTGTCAAGTATACAATACACTATGTTAACTACAGTCACCATGTTGTACATTAGATCCCCAGAACTTATTCATCCCGTATACCTAAGCTTTGTACGCTTTGACCAATATCTCCCCACTTTTTCACCTGCACCCCTGCACCCCACCAAAACTCTGACAACCCCATTCTACCCTGTGAGTTCAACTAGTTTAGATTCCACATGTAAGTGAGATCATACATTTTTTTCTTTCTGTGTCTGGATTATTTCACTTGGCCTAACATCTGCCAGGTTCATCGACGTTTTTGCAAATGGCAAAGGATTTCCTTCTTTCTTGGGGCTGAATGATATTCCTTTGTACAAATATATACTCCATTTTTTTGTCCATTCATCTGTCGATGGACAGTTAGGTTGTAAAACAAAACGAAACAAAAAGAAACTGCATTTGAAGCAGCATCCTCTAATCTGTTTAAAAACCAAATCAATATTTCTTTGTGTGTCCTAGCCTTTTCTTAAAGACATGCATGCCCTCTAACGAGGAGACATAACAACAGCTGCTTTTTAAGGCCTTACTGGACCCCTCTGGAAAACACTGGAAAGAAGACCAAGTGTGGCCAGGCAATGGGTCATTCATTCATTCCTCTCTGACACAGCTACTTGGGAGGTATCAACAGGGGATGCAACATTCTCAGACAAAGAGAGCCAGACAGACCCTAAAGCTTATTCCCAGTCCTTTTTCTGGCTGATTTTATCAGCACGAGGGAAGAGACAAACCAAAGAAACCTGGGGCCTGGAGATGCATGGGTTGAGCCCACTGCTGTATCTGTGATGCCCTTAATCCCAGAAAATTCACTCAGCTGCTTTCAAAACCAACTGTGCAAACCCAGAAAACAGCCTGCCTGGCCCTTGGATGCTGTTGAGGAGGACTCTAGGGTGCAGAAGAAAGGGAAATGTGTCTTGCAAAAAGAAAGGCAGGAAGTCTTCTGGAAAGTGAAACTAAACAACTTTGCCTTTGTTCCCTCAGAGCCCGGAACAGCAGCACTTCAGAGATTAAGGCTGAGCCACACCCCTTAGAAACGACTTCCGTTTCTCACAGGCAGCTTGGGAGTCAGGCAGTGCAGTTCCGGTCTGGCTCGCCCTCCTGCAGTCAGAAGCCTGGTGGGCTCCACCAGGGAGGCGCCCCCAGTGACTTGGGGGTGACTTGCCTGTCACGTCAAACAGATGTCCTGGTACTTCCCACCACACAGCCAGTGGCAGGGTCAGTCCTTCCCCAAAACGTCGTGGTCATGTTCCCTTTGGGGCTTTCAGCTGCAGGCTAAGGGCTGGGGGTGGTGGGAATGGAGTGGATGGGGAGTGGCTGCAGAAAACACAAAGGCCCTAAACTGTGCTTCAATTTTGTATTTAATTTTATAAAACTAAAAGGAAAAACTACTGAGAACACTCAGAGAAGTCTGCATTGCTTCCCTGCCTTGCTTCTCCTCCCCCCATAGATTACCATTTTTATTAGTTTTTTGATTTATCCTATTGAAAAAAACCCACTCGTATCTCTCCTTTATTATGAAAGACGGAGCACACTAAATACCAATCTTCACATTACTTCTTTCATGTCACTGTATCTCCTGGGGAGATGGTCTTCCGCCTTCTACCACACTGTGTGATGAACCGTCGTTCTTTCGACCACTCCCTGTTGGTCAACATTAGGGTTATTTCCAGTCTTCAGTTATTCCAAATAATGTTGCAATGAATAAATATCTTTGTGTATGTGTCATATACTTTTGCCGCTGTGTCTTTGTGAACCTTCCCGTTTGGAAGGACGAAGTTGATTCTTTTCTTGTTACCTGCTAGTGACTTTTTCTATGGCTGGGGATCAGGTATTTTTTCTTCTCTGAATCAAGCCTAGATTTTCAGCCCTTACCCTAACTGTGTGAATTTCCTGCAATTCATGAATTTCCTCTTGCCTCAACAGGAGGTGTCCTGGCAAGATGAGCATGCACAGAGTAATGGTAGGTGTTTCTAATACACTTTTTTTTTTTTTTTGCCACGCTGTGTGGCTTGCAGGATCTTAGTTCCCTGACCAGGGATTGAATCTGGGTTCCCCTGCAGTGAAAGTGCTGCGTCCTAACCACTGGACAGCCAGGGAATTCCCTCTAATACACTTTTTATAACTTGGATCAGTACGCCAGTAATAGATATATTTGATACATACCAAGCAATTTGGGGTGACTTGGGAGAAGGCTTACACATTAGTGGAGAATTCAGTTCTTGTTCTAATTCAGGGCAAGCCACTGAATGTGTGGATTATACCAGGCTTTTCCATGGGGGCGGATGTCGAGGGCTGGGTGGTTTCTACTTGGAAAGCCTAGCCTACCAGCATCTGGGGAATGCAGAGCTGGTCTCCCTCCACCCTTCAGAATGAGGTCACCCTCTGTGGGGAGGGACGGAGCCCTTGGCGGGCAGAAGCCCTCAGGCCAGCTGCTGCAGCGGCAGGAGCAGAATGTAGACTCTGTAGAATAGTATGGCTCCAGATGCTGCTTGTATTTTTCAGAGGGAAAGAGGCGGTCAGAGGGAGGGACTTGGCAACAGTGTGTTTAATGTTCTGAATCCTTGCCCAGCAACCATGACCTTGAAAAACCACTGGGCTAAACTGCTTACAAACAATCAGGGTTCTGGTGTTCTCTCTATGATGTGTCCATTCCTCATTTCTTTTTTTCCTGGAAATTTAAACTTCAGAGTCCAATACACCCCACTTTCCTAGGGACTTTTGTCTTTCTGCCTATCTGGGAGGCTGCATGATATGATATGGATGAGAATTATTGTTACTGAGCTCTTGTCATGTGCCAGCCACTGTCCTAAGAGCTTCCTAGGACTTATCTCCTTTAATAATCCAGTCACCTGGAGATAGGTACCACTGTTATTCCCATTTAATGATGAGGAAACTGAGACCCAACAGGTCTGGTGCTTTGCTGAAGGTCACGCAGCTAGAATGGAGTGCAGTTGGGATTTGAAACTGGCGGTCTGACTCCAGAGCACACCCTCTGAGGACCTGGCTCTAACCCCTTGCAGCTACAAGAGCTCAGGCAGTGGTTTCACTTCTGAAAAACAAGCAGGTTTCCTTCAGTGCTGCAGTTCTGCCGTTTCAAAGTTGAGACCTGTCTTTGCTGGAGAGTTACCTTCTCCCACGTGGAGGGAGAATTTACAGGTGCGCGGGAGGACTGCAGCGGGGGTCCCATTTGGTAGGTTCTCTGGTCTGGAGGATCCTGGACTTACTCAGCCTGAGCTGAGTGCCCAGGACTGACCCTTAACCGTGTTAATAGCTAACTCAGGCCTCACAGACAAGGGCAGAGCTTCCGGATTCTACTGAAAACTTGCCAGTCGTGTGTGGGAGAAGAAAAGCTTCAAGTCACATTTTCCCTTTACTGTCTTCTGACAACTCATCTTTGGCTTCCTCTCTCTACGAAGGATTCTTATCCGGAGGAACCAGAGAGTTTGCAGGTGCACTTCAAAGCAGTGCAGTCCGCAGCCAATGCCAAAGCCATGACTAAATTGATCCCAGGGCTGTGGTGATTTTTGCTCTGCCCAAATTGGGTCGCTGGGCCTTCCCCCCCCCCCCGCCCCCCGCCACCCCGCTCTTTCTTTTTGGTGTCTGCCCAGCCTCTCTCTACCCAGTGACAGATAAATGTTGACTCAACCCAACCAAACTTTTAACCAGAAACACTTGAGCTGATTCCAACCCATCCTCTGTAAGGAAATCTAAGTGTTTGGGGAAAGATATGTAAAGAGTCTGAGTACTTGTCTTTCTAGGTGACAGAGCAACCCCGGTCTCCCTGGAGATGTTGGGATCATCTGTTGACACTCTAACTTCTGAAACCAGCACAAAGGTTTGCACTGTTTCCTCAGGTCTTCTCCAACTAGGGTCCAGCCCTTAAGGACTCTGTGGGCTCAGATTTTTGTTTCTATCTTGGTTCTTCTTCCTGTCTCTGTGTGATTGTCTCTGTTCTTTTCGCCTTTTTCTGTAATAATCAGAAGTGTGTTGACCTTTGCCTATGGAGGTGATGTTATTGCCCTTTCAGTCATGCATATCCTTTGAAATATGCAGAGAGGGGAATTTCTTTTTCATCGACTGAAGCCACTTCTTTTCTGCTTGGATCAAAACTGTACCATGTTTTCAGGAGATCATTGTAGCCACAGAGAGGCCCTGCTGAAGCCAACTCAGCTAATTTGTAATCAAATGCTATTTACAGTAATCTTCAAAAACAATTGCACATATTTTAAAATTCACACTGTGATCTCTACAAAAGAGATTTCTCTGTTTTTGGAGGAATCAGATCACTCCAGAATCCTACCATTTTAAAAAACAAATTACCATTTGATATTTTTGTTGTCTTGTTAGATCCTTACCTATGCTTTCTTCACTTTGCTAATCCAACAAGAAAGATGCTTTCGCATAAACTCTGGGTTTGCCAAAGTTAAAAATACATATTTTATTATTTAACACTGCGAATTCACATTCTGCAGGCAAGACAGGTGAAGTTTGAGTTTTAATGAGGACCTGGCATTCTACCTTGGAATTAATCGTTAATTCCAGATCAGGACCAGGGTCTTGAGAACTCTCTGCCTTTGGTACTGATAAATGGAGTGGTTGGTTAGAAACATTAAACCCTTAAAATAAGCATTCCCTAATAAGTGGTTCCTATCTCTTCTTCTTTCAAGGAGACAGCTGTGTACAGGATGGATCGGAAACACAGAGGGTATTGTGTTGTTGTCAATAATCACAGTTTTACCTCACTGTCAAAAAGACCAGGGACCAATAAAGATGCTGGTAAGAAAGTCTGGAAGTGCGTGAAATGCAAGTTAGAAATCTTAAAATCACTTTTTATTTTCACATTTTCTTTCTGTAGTTTTTTTTCGTTTGGGTTTTTGGTTTTTTTTGCTGTACGCGGGCCTCTCACTGTTGTGGCCTGTCCCGCTGCGGAGCACAGGCTCTGGATGCGCAGGCTCAGCGGCCATGGCTCACGGGCCCAGCTGCTCCGCGGCATGTGGGATCTTCCCAGACCGGGGCATGAACCCGTGTCCCCTGCATCGGCAGGCGGACTCTTAACCACTGCGCCACCAGAGAAGCCCTCTTTCTGTAGTTTTTATCTTCCATGTAAATATAAGGATGATATCAGAAATGTTTCTAAGCTTCCTGTATATTCCTGGTGTCTTAGTCCATCCGATGGCATCTAATACCATTAGATGCCTTTTAAACAGCAAACATTTATTTCTCACAGTTCTGGAGACTGGGAAGTCCAAGATCAAGGCTCTGGCATTTTGGTATCTGGTGAGAGCCCACTTCCCAGATGGCCGTCTTCTCTCTGTAACCTTATTCAGCGGCCAGGGCAAGATTGCTCTTTGGGGTCTTCTTAATGGGTTCCACCCTGATGACCTAAGCACCTCCCAAAGGCTCCACTTCCTAATACCCTCACCTTGGGGGTTGAGGGGGAACACAGACTTTCAGACCATAGCTCCTGGGGTCACTGACCTGCTTAAAGAGTGACCAGAGTCCCTGACCATTTACGACTCTGGTTGGGAGAGAGCACCTGGGTCAGATGAGACAACCTGGGTTAGAGTTGTGCCTCCACCACTAACCAGGTTTGTGATCATGTGGGAGATTCATGGGGCCTCAGCTTCCTCATCTGTGAAATAGGATAAAATTCTGGCCTCTGCTGACTCACAGGATCATTGTGGTAGCACTGTGGCTACTATAAAAAGTCAGGTGAATTGTAAAATTTTATTGTTATGAAAGTAGAAAAAACACCCAAAGCTTCAGCCTATTTGCTATGCAGATTTTTATAACTACTAGCATTGTTTCACCCCTTCATTTTGTTTTATTTCCCTCCATTTCACTATTTCCCCTTTCTCTCCTTTTTCACAGAGTGCCTGAGGCGCGTGTTTCAGTGGCTTGGGTTCAGGGTGCATATTTATGTCAATGTGACTAAAGGCCACCTAGAGGAGGTTCTGCAGTATTTTCGGACTCATCCAGGCCATGCTGATGGAGACTGCTTTGTGTTCTGTGTTCTGACCCATGGGAAATTTGGAGCTGTCTACTCTTCTGATGGGAACCTCATTCCCATCCGGCAGATCATGTCTCACTTCACGGCCCAGCAGTGTCCCGCTCTGGCTCACAAACCCAAACTCTTTTTCATCCAGGCCTGTCAAGGTGAAGAAATACAACCTTCCGTATCCATTGAAGCAGATGCAGTAAATCCTGAGCACGTGCCCCCTTCCCTTCAAGACAGTATTCCCGTTGAGGCGGATTTCCTTCTTGGCCTGGCCACTGTCCCCGGCTACGTGTCCTTTCGGCACGTGGAGGAAGGTAGCTGGTATATCCAGTCTCTGTATAATCATCTGAAGGACTTGGTCCCAAGGTGAGAGTTTTGAGTTGTTCCATTCACCTACCTGTTCATTCATTCATCTATCCACCTACCTGTTCATCCATCTATCCACCCACCCATGCATCCATCCATGCATCCATTCATCCATCCATCCACCCATCCAACACACCTGTATTGAGCACTGGCATGTAACTGGAAAGGAAGATACAGAATTTAAAAAAAGACACAGTCCCTGTCCTCAAGTTGCTCACAATCTGGAAAGACAGACAAGTATATGGGGAAGATCATTCCCTATGGTAAATATACATTGTAAAGCATAGGTGTTATGGGACCATATGGAACTAGCACCTCACCCAGATTTGGAGGATCAGGGGAAGCTTCTAGAGATGCCAAATAGATGTTAGGTGAATAATCAGGGTGAAAGACATTCTGGGGAGAGGGAACAGCATCAGTATAGGCAGGGAGGCCTTTTATTTGTTCCTTCATTTATTTAGTATCAATCACTTGCATTTACTGAATGCCCGTGTGCTGCCTTTGGCGTTATAATACCCGTGGTTTCCTGCCACTGCTCTGACAACTTTCCTTCTGTCTCTGTCACATGCTCTTTACCTGGCACAATGGAAATGGGCATTCACCAAGGTTCTGCCCCAGCCCCTCTCCTTTGCTGTCTCTCTATAGCCCCTTTTGGCAGCTTTAGCTATACCTGGCGGCCACTGGCAGCTCCATGAAAACATCTCCCAAGTTGCCATCTCTGAGTTTCTGAAAGGCAGAGATGTTTCATTTAACCTTATATCCTCGGCACCTGACACAGTACCTGATACATTGTTGAGGTTGATAAGCATTTGCTGGACCAGTGAGTGCCGGGTTGAGTCAACCTCATTCTTCGGGTCAGTCCCATGCATTTCTCACAGCCTGCCAGACATCCCACGCCTCTGTTGCCTTTGGGCCTCACATTCAGTATGCACAGTCCTGAATTCATCTTCTTAGCCCTCTCCAGGGGTTCCTACTCCTGAATCCCCATTGCTAGGAACAGTTCCAATTCTGGGAATTCAGGATTGGGAACCAGGATGGGAGCCTTGAGTCACCTTGGCTTTTCCTTCTTCTTTACCAACCTCTCCATCAAAGACCAATTCCTATGGCATCAGGGAAAATGCACTATTTATCAAGGGCCTGCTACGTGCCTACTGTCTGGGTACTGAGCTGGGGGTTTGGGGTATCGTTGTGAACAAGAGAGACAAAATTTCTTCTCCATGGGAGTTACCACTTAGTGACAGGAAGGCAGATAATAAAAATGTAAGTAAATGAACATATGAATTAGTGAGATAATTTTGGGAAGTAATACCTGCTATGAAAAGCAAAACAGGATAATGATATGGAGTGTAGAGCAGAGAGCTACTTGAGAAGGCTTCCTGGTTGAGGCGATATTTCAAGTAAGACTGAATGGTGAGTCAGCCACAGGGAGATCTGGGGACAGAGAGAACAGCTAGTGTGATGCAGGATGCAGGTGCTGAGAACCAGTCATGAAGGCACGATTCAAACTTGAGTTCTGTCTCCAGAGCCTATGCTTTGCTTCCAGTGATATGTATTGCCCACCCCCAGAACATTCTGGTAAATGCCCTCTGGATCAAATTCTGCCTCCTCTATGGAGTCTTGTCTTCTTCTCCCAGCCAGAGGCACTGTCTTCTCCTCAGAATTTGCAGGGGAACTTTGACCTACTTTTCATGCGGTGTTGATCACATTCTGCCTTGTATTATGGAGTTTGTCTCTCTGCTATCCTTGGTACATGTTTCATGTCTGTATTCTAAGTGTTTAAGTTCAGGAATTGTGTCATGTTTGCCCTTTATCCCTCCCAAAACCTAGAATAGAGAGGGTATTATTAATAGTAGTCTCTCTATATATATAGTTCTATCACCTCCTATTCTATCTATCTCTCTCTCTATCTACCTACCTACCTACCAGCTTGAAGGAAGAACACAGAAAAATAATTCTATGCAAAATGTCTTTGTGGACTAAGTGCATTAAAGTGCAAGGTGTGATTATTATTATGATGTTCTTAAATACTGACTGCAGAATTGAAAAATTTTATATAATTTAGCATTTCTTTTTTAATTTCGGAAAAAATGTTTCTTTATATTTGGCAAAATTCCAGTTAGAATCTTGGCATGCTAGACTGGGAAGAAGCCACGTATTTTAAAATCTGTTTTCTAAGACCTGGTATGTGATTTCTATCTCCTGGTTGAAAATATATTTTCTTTTCTGCCTGCAGACAGGAAGATATCTTATCCATTCTCACTGCTGTCAACGATGATGTGAGTCGACAAGTGGACAAACACGGAACAAAAAAACAGATGCCTCAGCCTGCTTTCACACTACGTAAAAAAGTAGTATTCCCTGTGCCACAGGAAGAACTTTTACTATAGTAGAAAGTTTTGATTGATGCTTAAACTTGAAACGACCCTTTGGGCATCGCTTCCAACCTCCCACCCGTCATAGAAATCAGTGACAGGTAGTGAGCTGGCCTCCACCTGTCTTTCTAGTAGAAGAACATGCCCTATTTTCTGACACAACAAAATCTGTTTGTTTTTTTTGTTTGTTTGTTTTGGATAAGTCTAAATGGTAGAAAACTTTCTTTGTTGAAGCCTTGGACTGTAGTCTTGAATTTAGTTGTGCACCCCGAGATAAAAGTGATTAGCCTCGGTTTATGCATCTGTGAAGTAAAACGTGTATTTTAAGGTTCCTTTTAGCTCAGAACCACTGTTCGTGGCCTTCACTGCGCTTAGATTTCCCTTCTGTATATGCTCACCCCTTGTTATAATTCTGTGTCCCCCCTGAATGGTCTTGTTTTGGACACTGGATAATGATGAGATCATGGTTCAATGACCCTCTCCTTGTTCTCCCCTAAAATTTGATCTATGCCACACCCATTTCCTGCTTTAGTGTAAGGAAGGTGTTTCTGCAGGCAATGTTTCTCTTGGGCCGGGAACAGGGTTGGCTCTCGGAAGATGACAGCTCAGTGTGAAGACAGACACATTCAGCTGCTCTGGGAGCACAAACTTTACAACCTTGTATTAAATTCCATGTTGGTCACGACATTTCAGACATCGCTGACAGAACAACCACCTCACACTAACTAAAGCAAAAAAGAAAATTGGTTGCTTCTTTCACCTGAAAACACGTGAACGCGGAGAGTGGCTTCAGGTGAGGCTTGAATCAGGACTAAATCTGCACACAGCATCTCTCTTGGTCAGAGTCCTCAGGGTTGGCAGCTGACTGTAGTCAACAGCCCCTGCCTTAGCTCTAACACGCTCTGCTCCTCTGACCCAAAGTGATGAAGAGAGAGGCGGCCTCAGGGACTGAAGATTTTCACAGGGCTTGTTGCTCTCTCTGGCCAGGCTGTGTCTGGCTATGCCTTCTGGAGGGGGAGGCTCTGTATGGAAGCCTTGATACTTTAAAAATTAAGGTTGTCAACACTCCTATGTACTGAACTTTTTTTTTTTAATTTCAAGAGGAATTTTTAATTCTTGGAAGGAATTAAACATTAGTTCCTGGAAGGAGGGAGATTGAAAGTCCTGTGGTTAATGACTTCATTTATAGATGAAGAAACTAAAGCCCAAGGAGACAGAGTGATTTGCTACAACGTCCAGCCAGCTATCGTTTACAGGATTTTATTTCCCACTTAACTGAACTGGAATGTCATGGGTCATAACAGGACTTTAGGAACATTTCTTGGATATGTAGGTGCTCATGAAAGATGTCAGGGAATGAAGAAAAAATAACTCAGTGATGCTTGATTTTATAATTATTTTTATGAAAGTCAGATTAATGTCTGGCAAATTTGCAATGAGAAACATTCATAAGAACCTTGTTATAATGTAGCTAGTAATTACATGGATTTGAATGTAGGTTGACCAAGGAAACAAATCTCATATGTATGTCAGGATGATCTTCCAAAATCATTGTTCTTACAAGTCAAAGCTAACAGCTGGGGGGTACCGTCTTTGTCCCATTGGATATACACAGCTTTTGGCCATTGAACAGTCCTTTGCTAGTTGAAGGATGATTTGGTACAAAGAAAAGAGCAAAGGGTCTGGAGAGAGAAGCCTTGGGTTTCTGTTGTATTCTGTGATTTCCTTGCTCTGAGACACTAAGTCAAGCTAGTTTTTTGAGCCTTATCTATATAGTAGAGAAGTATTATCTGTTGGGAGGATTAAGGTTTAAATCTAATTGTGGCGTGGTGCCTATAAGGCCCATGGTAGCAGCATTCTGGTAGTAACCTTAATAGAAATAGCAGAGTTTGAGTTCCTTTGCATCTAATTCCTGCTGACTTTTAGCTTCAAATCAACAGTAGCAACACCCACTGATATTCTCTGACTGAGGAACAACCAGGCCAGCTCTTGGTTCTGAGTCCAGCTGGGCAACACAGGTGATGAATTCTCCTGCGTCAGAAATATGTGGGGCTTGACGTTGAAGTCCTGGGCCTGTGGTCTATTTTATATTTCTGTTTCACTGGAACTTAGTGCTTGTGTAGGGTTAAACTCTAGAATCAGGAAACTTTCCATGAACTTTCTTTACAGAGGCCTCCAGCAAGCATGTGAGGAATCACTAGACACGTATGCCTGTGAGTCATGGGTCTATACAGACAGCAGGAGTGCAATCGTTCTGGGCTTATTTTTCCTAAATGGAGCATATACACACTTGGCCCTTGTCTGTATTTGTGTGTGTGTGTGTGAATTTAGAGTCCAGAGACAAAAGGAAGTGATTGATCACAACCATTTGGCAGTGCCTACGGCCGTTGTCTGTCCAGACATTTATGATGAAAATGGCAGATGGAATAAGCTTTCTGTATATTTTGCTTAGTTTTGTTCAATCTACAAGAGCTGTAGTTAATTTTTTCTTTTCTTTTCTCTTTATCGCTCAAAAGTTTGGCTTCTACCAAACAAAATGAAAGACATGAAAACTTTTGATAGAGTATTATGCAAATATTAGTTATTTAATAATGATACTACCGGTGTATAGCATTATTAGGACTATTAGTCACTATAGCATCCTACTGGCATCTGCTTCAGGGACTCACCATGGTGGTGGGCAGGTTTGATATCGTGGCATTTCCCTTAGCAATATAATTATTCCCCCAGTACTCAGGTAATTTAAACATATATGCAACTAGTACATTGTGGTTACTGACCAATCAGACCAGACTGATCAGTTTAACACAACAGTGAATAGGCTGAGTGGCAGCTGAAGATCAGTGATCAAGTCTCCGCTGAGGTGAACCAAGTAGACGTTTACCTCATTTTATAGACGACTTGTGTGCCATATCAGATTAACAAGGTTTTCCAGGTCGGATACTTTCTGAGTGACATAGTCAAGTTCTCAACCTGAAATTCTTGGGCCCTTAGGTTTTTGTGGATTTATCTTCAGGGTCTGAGAGTCCTCCACCTTCATTTTTAAATGTTGTCATTTTTAAATGTTGTCATTCCTTGTGGGGGGGTAATCTTTAAAAATTAATACAAGTGCCCTTCATTTTTAAATGTTGTCATTTTTAAATGTTGTCATTCCTTGTGGGGGTAATCTTTAAAAATTAATACAAGTGCCCTTCTCTTCCGTATGACCACCTCGTATTTGAGTACCGCCACATAACTTCTGTGCTCACATCCGGGTGCCCACAGAAAGTGATGAACTTTACATTGCACTTTTAAATGTAGCATAGATTAGGGTCCATGGCTGGGGATTCTCAGCTTATTGTCAAGTGTCAGTGGTTAATCTGTTAGAAACCTGCTCCAATCCATCCTCTCAACCCTATAGACTCTACTTCACCATCCCTCCCCTTAACTCTTCCAGCAGAGGGAACTCACACCACACACAGAGTCATGGATTTGAGAGACCCTGTGGTCCAGCCTTCAGAATGTTAAACTTACCAAAGTTGCACAGCTGTTAGTGGAGGATTTGCAATCCTGTGTATCTCTTGCTTTGCAATCCTGCCATCTGGTTTCACCTGCAGACAGCTTTAATTATCTTTTTCTCTGTTGGACTTGAATTGCCGCCTTAGAATGTACTTAGAACCACGGGTTCTAAACTCTGGAGACCTACCAAGCAAGGGTAACTATCGTCTGGTGAGGTATATGTTGTATGTGACAAGTTTTTTTTTAACTTTTTTCTGGTAGGGTCTGAGTCTTGTCAAAAGTCTGCAGTTTGCTCTTAAAGATGTGGTAAAAATATAGTGAAATATTTGTATCTTTAAACAGAAACTAAATTTCTGAAAGTAGAACCCTTTTAAAAAAGCAATAAGGGAATTTCCTGTTTAAAGAAAGACCCATTTGGCAATACAAACATTGTATTTAACATAACTTTTGCATGTATGAAAATTTAAAAGAGGGTTTTTCTATTAAAATTTTTAGATGATATTAAATTTTACTGTTTAAATTTATTTTTGAATAGGTGCTATCTTTACGTTGTTCGAAGATAAGAAAATATGAAAGGGTGTTCAAGAAAAGTCTCGCCCCCATTTCTGTGCACTGCCTGCCCGGTCCTCTGTCCTCCTCATCCCATAGATAATTTCAGGGTTTCTTAGTGCAAATGCAAATACAACAAAGAACAATATATGTGCATTTTAAAATAAGAATTTCTTGAAACAAAGTATATATTATACACTGTGAAACTCACATCTCTCACTTGGTCTTATTTAAAATGATGCTGTAAGATGCCTGGAAATACTGGTACAATTCTAGAATGGGATAACTTTATGAGTTTTGTGGACTGAGTACTTGTAAATAGTAGTAATTGCCTTACATAAATAAAGACATGTTTTTCCTTTTTACCTCTGAGTAGTGTCTTTGATTTTACTTATTAATTGTTTTCTGCTTATATAGTGATATATGTTCATCGTAGAACATTGGGGAAATACAAGAACACACAAAGAAGAAGAGTTCATTCGCTTAAAATTCTATTTTGGCATACACTTTCGCATTATTTCACTCTGCATTTATCCCTGATCTACCCCACCCCCTTTAAGTGAGCCCAACCTCCATGTCCGCTCAGTCACGAATCCAGTACGCTTTGTCATTACCAATATCTGTACTTCCACCCGAGTCTCAGCTTCAAGTGTGCCCCTCTCTGACAACCACCTCCTACAATTACATCTCACTTCCTCTAGGACCCTCCCTTCAGCTGTCTTCAGAGCCACGGGGGCCTCTCGTCAGTCCACTGACCCTATCTGCCATCTTTCCAATGTCAACATCACCCCTCACTCCCTTACTCCCTCTTTACCCAGCTAGAGTCCGTGTGTCATCATTAAACTCACTCTCTTGCACCAACCCTCAACACCCTCGCCTTTCCTTCAGTCCTAGAATCCAAGCTGGTTAATCGTATATGTCTGCTTACTCCACGTTTGTACTGGAATTCTTGGTTATGGCTGGTGTGAAACCACAATGTTGCAGACTGGGCTCACTTAAAGCCGATGACCACAAACCTCAAATAGGTGTTCGGTGTTTCCTGGAAATTGTGTGACATTTCCCTAGTTCTGTCACCCTTTTGCTTTCTCAGACTATTTTAAACCTTCTTTTGTCTGCTCAGACCTCTATTATCCTCCACACCCCTCACTTTCATTTGATGGTCTGTCTCACTCATTTCTCTAAGCAAAGTGATCAGAAGAGACTTCCACCTTCCATCACCAAGTCTCCCCACCCACAGGCACCTTAACCCTCATTCGCTGGTTTCTCTCCCATCAACAATGGGAGCTGCCCGTGTTACTCCGAAGAGTCAGTGCCTTGTGCAGGAAACATGCCATCCTGCTTACTCAAAGATGTCACCTGCACAGCCCTCCCTCTATCTCCTTTCTGCTCTGTTATCCTTCCCCTCTCTCCCATGTCATCCCCCTGAGCATACAAAACATGCTGTAATTTCTCCTTCCTTCAAAACTGAAACAAAACAAAACTGAAACCCTCCAAAGCCTATCTTCCATCAGATGCTCAGAAGCAAACTCTGAGAGGAGGTTCTTGTGCCAGTGATTTGTTCAGGAGTGCTCTGGGGGGAAACCAGCAGGGAGTGGGAAGCAGGACAGGGAAAGGGAGGAGACAGGCAAGGCTGAGGCCACACCAATGCTATCTCTGCAGCAAAATCATCCATGGAGGGGCTTCCCTGGTGGCACAGTGGTTAAGAATCCGCCTGCCAATGCAGGGGACACGGGTTCGAGCCCTGGTCCGGGAAGATCTCACATGCCGCAGAGCAACTAAGCCCGTGCACCACAACTACTGAGCCTGCGCTCTAGAGCCCGTGCGCCACAACAAGAGAAGCCACTGCAATGAGAAGCCCGTGCACCGCAACGAAGAGTAGGCCCCACTCGCTGCCACTAGAGAAAGCCCACGCGCAGCAAGGACGACCCAACACAGCCAAAAATAAAAACAAATTAATTAATTAAAAAAAAATCTTCCTTGGAGCCCCTCTACCAGAGGCCAGGGAGCCAGGCTTTCTTCTTCCCTCAGCACCCCCATCCTTGGCTAAGAGCTGCCCCAGGTGGGGGACCCTCCCAGCTGGCAAGCTGCTGGGGGTAGCAGTGGGGAGGGGCAGGGTGGGGAGCACAGGGAGATTTCAGAAGGTGGGAGGAGGTCTGTGAGGAGCACTGACATCACCCCCTGTGTTCCTCTTGACCCCACGTCATTTTGTCTTCCCATCCTCAGGTCTGTCCAATATTTGCATGGCCTGGGAAACAGTAAAATCTGAGGCCTATAAATCATATGTACGAATACAAATAGCCAATAAACTGTTCTCCTTGGGACTTCCCTGGTGGCGCAGTGGTTAAGAATCCATCTGCCAATGCAGGGGACATGGGTTCGAACCCCAGTCCAGGAAGATCCCACATGCCGCGGAGAAACTAAGCCCGTGTGCCACAACTACTGAGCCTGCACTCTAGAGCCCGCGAGCCACAACTACTGAGCCCGTGTGCTACAACTACTGTAGGCCGCTCTCCCTAGAGCCCATGCTCCGCAACAAGAGAAGCCACCACAATGAGAAGCTCGTGCACCACAACAAAGAGTAGCCCCCCAACTTGCCGCAACTAGAGAAAGCCCACGGGGCTTCCGTGGTTAAGAATCTGCCCGCCAATGCAGGGGACACGGGTTTGAGCCCTGGTCGGGGAAGATCCCACATGCCGCAGAGCAGCTAAGCCCGTGTGCCACAACTACTGAGCCTGTGCTCTAGAGCCCGTGAGCCACAGCTACTGAGCCTGCATGCCACAACTACTGAAGCCCGTGCACCTAGAGCCCGTGCTCCACAACAAGAGAAGCCACCGCAATGAGAAGGCTGTGCACCACAATGAAGAGTAGCCCCCGCTCACCACAACTACAGAAAGCCTGCACGCAGCAACGAAGACAGAACGCAGACAAAAATAAATAAATAAATTTATTTTTAAAAAAAAGAAGCTCAATACTACCTCTGATCCCTACATTGCTGCTTATTTCACCACTTGAAAGACTCTTCACCACCCCCACCCTTTCCCCACTCATGCCCTTCCCCACTCACAGCCCAGCTCTGGCCACCATGCCAGGAAACAGTTAGTTGGTTTTGGCTAGAGGCTCCTTGTGCTGCCAAATTAGTAACTCCAGCCCTTGGGTCTAGCCACGTGCTGAGGCTGGAAATGACGACTCAGTGAGAGTGACAGAGAGGTGTTACTGTTCCCATTTTACAGATAAGAAAATCAAGGCTCATAGATGCTAAGCAATGAACAAGGTCACACTGCTAGAAAGTGGGAAGGACCAGACTTGAACTCTATTTAGTTGAGCTCCAAGTCCACAATCCTGACCTTCCTGTCTTCACCACACTGCCCTTGTGAAAATATTCCCTGAGGGACAGAAGCCTACATAGGGTAATTTGCACCCTATCTCAGTTCCTGGAGATGGGAGTCTGACCTCTCCACCCGAGTTATCACCATGAAATGTCTAGGACAAGCCAATATAATCCACAGTTATCAGGCCTGTGAGAAATGGACGTCGCCCAGGTTAAAGATAGAATGAAAACGGGCAGTTCTATTACTTACAAGAAACATGATTCATTCTGCCAGTAATTGGAAGCACAGCTGTCTGGTAGAAGAGTTAGGCTGATTCAACTCCTCCTCAGGCTCCGGCACTGCCTCCTTAGGTCCAAGATCCCTGTGAGTAATAAATCCATTTCCCCCTTTTTGCTCTTTGTGTTCAGTAGGAAGTTACAGTTTCTGGGAAGGACAATGAAAATAATTCCGCGGCTGGAAGAGAACACATGTGAGGGCACTGAACAGGCTCTCAGATCTCCACAACCTCCCCTCCCAGCTCCACCCTGGCTCTGACACCAGACACTCTGTGCACAGGCAGGGCAGCATTTTATAGTCCTGTCCGGAGCCCACGGTACCTGAGAGGCACCGTGCCCTGAAGCAAGATGACAGCCTGACCCCTTGCCGCAAGCACCACTGTTCTATTTTGGAACCACAGAGTTTAGAATTCTCAACGTATCACCCCTCTACACTCTCTCTTATTGTTCCTACTTTTGTTACATGTGTATATGTGCTCATCTCTTTCCTTTCACCATCAACATCTTTTAGAAATTCCTATTTTCTTTATTTGGAAAATATGATACAAACAAGTAGTAAACAATTTAAACACTACAGAAGGATACACAGGAAAAAGTAAACTTCACACTGACCCCTGTCCCGCAAGCCCCCAGTTCCTTCCACAGAGGTAATTACTGTTTCCAATATTTTGAATATTCTTTCTGAGACGTTTTATTCTTATAGAAGCGTGTGTCTGTGTCCTTCCCTCATTTCCTTGCCTCCCAAATGTTAGCAGACTCTTCTGCACCTTGGTTTTCTAATTGAACATATCTCAGAGGCTGTTCTATATCAGAACATATAGGTCGCTCTGATCTTTTTTTCTTTGAAAGGGCAAACAAGACATTTTTTAACTTTTTATTTTATATTAGAGTATAGTTGATTAACAATGTGTTGGCTTCAGGTATACAGCAAAGTGATTCAGTTATACGTATCCATGTATCTATTCTTTTTCAAATTCTTTTCCCATTTAGGTTGTTATAGAATATTGAGCAGAGTTCCCTGTGCTACACAGTAGGTCCTTGTCGGTTATCCATTTTAAACATAGGAGTCTTTACATGTCCATCCCAAACTCCGTAACTATCCCTCCCCCCACCCTTCCCCCCGGTAACCATAAGCTCATTCTCTAAGTCTGTGAGTCTGTTTCTGTTTTGTAAATAAGTTTGTGTCATTTCTTTTTGGATTCCACAATATTTCTCTTTCTCTGTCTGACTTACTTCACTCAGTACGACAATTTCTAAGTCCATCCATGTTGCTGCAAATGGCGTTATTGCATTCTTTTTAATGGCTAAGTAATATTCTTGTATATATGTACCACATCTTCTTTATCCATTCCTCTGACAGTGGACATTTAGGTTGCTTCCATGTCTTGGCTACTGTAAACAGCAATGGACATTGGGCTATATGTATCTTTTTTTTTTTTTACTGTGACTATTCCATCCTGTTTATGATTTAATTAGCCCCCTATAGGAATTGCAAATTTCATAAGGGCAGAAATCAGATCTTATTTATCCTTTGTTTCCTATACTCCAACCTAAGGCAGTGCTTTGCACAAAGGGATAAGCCAGAATGAACATAAACCACAAACACATCCATTCATGAAAATTGGGGAAACAGCTCTTATTTATTCCTAGTTCTGAGTTCTGACACCTGATGCTTTGCTGTACTTAAAATGGGCTAGTTCTCATTCAGCTTCCCTCTCAGCCACACCACCATCCAACATGTACTAAGCTCTGCCATGTATC